TTGCCTTTCTTATGCTACTAAATTTGACCAAGCACCCACTTATGGTGAGAAAAAAATATGTTATCGATAGCTTTTGTTCGATATATTATATTTGAAATCTCACATCAAGAAGTAAAATGGTCAAAATAAAATATATAAATAGAAACAATATTTATTTAATAAGTTAATTTTATAAAGTTGAAATTAAGTGTATAACTCACTTTCTTAAAATACTATGACAAATTTTATTTTATTTTTTCATTCAAACAATCGACACTACCTGGTTTCAGTCATGTTCTTCCCAAGGGGTCCACTCTATCTTTCTATATCATGTGAACATGGAAGAACCAACTCCAACTTAAACACCACTCATTCGTTTCAATAGCATAGAAGAACCCACCATGGTATTCCTTATTCCTCTGATGAATCTGTATCATCTCAAGATTCCCATTCACATCTCATGCAAACACAAAGCCATATGATGCTATATGCCATGCTCATGATTCTTGATCTTTGTTGGTGCCATCACATTATTCTATACTACATCTTTCCCTTCTCTCTCCAATGTTTCATCTACTCTCTAGATTCCTATGTATATATATTGTGCGGTTCAGTCCACAAGATCACTCATGCAAGCAAGAGAATTGAACAACTTTTCTACTTCAACTTCAGCTGGTAAACTTTAAATTCACTTTTTCTTTTTCCCCATGTATTTTAATATGTTACTTTTCTATATAACCAAATATTTAACTATTCACTTCCTTTTGATGAATTCAAGCAATGAGGTGTTCTGAGAAACAAAAATCATATTATGTTGAGAAAGGGAGATTTTATTTTCTAATAATTAGATTCAATAATCATTGTCTTATGATATTTTTTCAAATAGTGTGAATAGTGCTATGCTAATACATAGTACAAATTGATTGGCTTGGTGATGAGGAGAGCATCATGTGTGGGCCAGCCTCATGAAGCAATAATATGAAGTCTTTTCTTGGCTTGCGGGTACAAACGGGACTTTTTTGGAATTAAAATACAGGTAGAAAAATATATAAAAAAATTTTACATAAAATGAAATGATTATTTGGGTTCCAAATTTTAATTTATTTAAGAATTTGATTTGTCTTATTTAATTCCAGTGTACGTGATACTAAGTATGGAATAAGACAATTATAACAGCTAAATAAAAGTAATATAAAATATGCATTATTTAATTCATTTAATTTTGTGAAAGAGTAATCATTCAATGACTTTTAATTTGTCAAATCTAACATTGAAAGAAAGCATGGAATACAGGGAAAGTAATTAAACACATGAAAAATGATCAAAAGATTGCACACAGATATTTAGATTTGATCCATACCCTTTCTTAATTAAGTCTTCATTTTTTTATTTATTTCTATTTTAGTAGGGATGACAATAGATAAATTTAGGTAAAGAAAACTCATACTTGAGTATATTATAGTTTTAATTATGTTATGAGTATTAACAATTTTAATGAGTCCTGTAAAAAAAACAATTTTAATGGGTATTAAATAACAATTTTAACACCCATAAACCTACAAGTAGTTTGATTACTTAATGCGTGTTTGGTTTGATTCTCCTTAAAAAAATATTGTAGTGCAATTCAAGTTTTGTGTATTAAAAAACCTTACTAAAAAAATGGATGTTTCAGTTTTGAGTAATAAGATATATACTATATAATCTTAAAAAAAAATATATCATACTTGATGATATATTCAAACTCATCATCTACTTTTCAATTAAATAAAGTATTTTCTCATGTCAAAATTTCAAGGCTTTTATTTATTTATTTATAATAATCTATTGAAACAAGAACACGTGCGTGTGTTTCTCCAACTCTCAATTCAAAAACACTATCGTGGCCTTTTGTATTCCATCTTCCCAATTTAACTGTCTTTTTATTTGTAGAAAATGAAATATTTTTCTGTCCTTTTTCGTATTTTTTTAAAAAAATTAAATCTTGAACTCAAACTTGTATAATGTTAATTTTTCTTGTCTATCGACACTTTTTTTTATTACATCATTTTTCTTCTCTTTTTTGACGTTTGAATTAATTTATTTGGTGCCTGGGAAAAATTATAATAAGATTACCGCATAAAAAACCTATAACTTATTACACAATCACTGTGATTATCTGGTTACGTTTAAAGCCTTATAGTTATAGCTGATAATTAAAAAAAATTATATGCAGTCCAAAGTAGGGGTGACAAAATGGGTTGTGGGGACCGCCAAAATTTGGCAGGTCAGGCTCATCATTCCAATTCGTCAACCCGTTAAGCCCGCCCCGTTAACCCTGTCAAGCGTCAACCCATTAATAATTTTTTTTAGTTTTTTTTTTGTTACATTTTTTTTAATGTAATATAGCCTGCCTGCCAACCCGCTAGCTCACATTTAGGCAGAGTGGGCTAACATTTTCAATCCTCTTTTCAGTGATGGACTATTGGTGGGCCGGGTCAAAATAGGCCGAGTTGACCCATTTTACCATCCTTAGTTCAAAGACATTTTTCGTGGATATAAAAAAAAAGAAGACATTTTTCATAGATTCAATGTACACTACTATTATACTGGCTTAACGCATTCAATACTTAGAATTTCTGATATGTAATAACGTGCTTAAAATAAGGTTTGACAAGTGGTATGAGAGTTAAAGTAGCATGCAGAAGGTTTTAAATTTAAATGTGTGAATAAACTTCTCAAAAAAGGTATCAAGTTTCTCTTATGCTGGCCCAATTAAGATTTTATTTCAAACATTGTCCAAAAGTAATTGGATTTAAACAGATTCTGAATTCAATGTCTTTGGAGATGCTTTATCAAGAGGTTATGGCCCATAGCATCTTTCTGTCGTGTGATATCAACACTCTTCTTGAATCTTTCTTTAGATCCAGAAAACCATGAAAGTCTTTGCAACAACGGGTCTTTGTTTTTGAGTAAACCCCGTTTTAGTTATTAGTGAGATCATAAGCTTAACAAACTTTACTTTTTAAACTTTATAAAATCCCCACTTTAATTTTTGATTATATAAAAAACCATTTTTTCATTTCTTTTTCTTTTTCACTTTATGTTTTTTACATGAAATTAAATTGAATAATATTTTGTTGAGTCTTTTTATTCCTACTAATTAAATGATCAAATTTGATTTTTCTTATATTTTATATTTGTCCATACGAAAAAAGGTCGATAATTAACTCTAATCTGCATGTAATCGTTCCTTACCCTAATGCAAACTTTTAATTACCAAAAGAAAATTGAATAATGTTTTGTAAAATTACAAACATAAAGTAAGAATTTTATAAAGTTGAGAATTAAAGTACTGGATGCTTATATTCTAGAAACTGAACTCTTTTATTTTTCTTTACGCGTTAATTAAGAATTATAAGACCTCATGAATTGTATTACTATCTGCGTGCTTTACATGTCAACCCAATCCTTTCGAAAAATAACTTTTTCTTTCCAATTTAATGCTAGCTGTAGAAGACATGGGAAAAGAAAAAAAGAAAAAGTCATCTAATTGCAACCTATTTTTCTTTTCAGCCAAACATGTCGTTGTATGGAAGTGCATCTAAAGTTCTTCCATTGACTTCATGTCTCGTGTGAGCCATGAAACGTTCCTAAAACACGTTGTTAGGTCATGGACTCATGGTTTAGTGGAGTCGACAACATTAATCTATTCTATTTTTCTATACACATAAATTAAGAATAGAACCACAAACTACATTTTAAGGGACAATTATGTCACACTTTCTTATACTAATAATAATAATAATAATAATAATAAATTAAATTTCATTATTCTCCCTAGTATTGTGATATTTTCTCTGCCATAATATGCTTGCTTACCACTAACTCATGATTTTCATAACATAAATGATTCTTTAAGCCACTTAACGTAGTTCTGATGCACTGAAAGTGACACGCACCACCTGCCAAAAAACACCGTCCAAATTATAGAAGATGACGGAAGTCGGCATGCACTTAGCATGAATTATGCCACAAATTGACCAAAAAATTCCAAGTGGCTTCGTTTCTATCACCATATTCACATCAAGAAGAATATATGATTAAGAACCCTTCATTTAAACTTTAATTTCCTTCACGATTAAAACACTAGAAAAAGAGACATGCCGTAGTTGAAGTGTACATTGTATGCAGGTGACACGGGCTTTTCCGAAAGTTGTTGTGTGCCATCTTGCTTCGTGACGCCCCAAACAACTAACATTAACCAGTGCAGAGTCACATTCAAAATGAAATAGCCCTTTGCAAAGATGAACTTGACCAAAATTTACCATAAGGGAACTAGTTTTTCCCTCTTGTAAATAAGTTAAGTATTGTGTCTTTATATATAAATACAAATACCCTTTTATATGTCGTATTCTACTCAATTCTTGGTATAACTTGGTTTATAATAAAAACAAAACAAAACAAAACACCCTCAGCTTTGTCAATGAAGTTTATCTAACCTTTTTTCTATTTGCAGTCACTGAATCCATAATCATGACTATGGTACAATACAATTTGTGGCCGTTCATGTTTTGCCCTTAACGAAGCCACACATAAACACAAATATATTATTGGCATTTACATTTTGGATTCATTCATAAACTCATATTTATTCTATGACCAAATTTATAAGTTTTAGTTTCATTTAGACAAATATATGTACTAATAGTGCAAATACTGATATGATCTTTCTTCTTAAACTGACCCATCATTCAATTTCTTTTCTCCTAGCAGGTGGAGTTGGTTTCTGAGCACAAATGGGAGCAGATTTTGTAACTAGATTAAATTAAATAAAACCAAACCTGAGTCTTACCCATGCCAACCCAAAGAGGAAAAAGTTGCATTGTTGCTAACCATGCAAGACATTGACCCACTGAATCCAAATTCCAAACACCACCCAATAATTCCAAGTTAGTGAACAAATAAGGAGAAGAAAAAAATTTTGCCTTTAAGGGTCACTAGGCAAGTACAGTGTCCACTTCAACTCTCTCACACGTGTCAAACAGAATAGCACGTACCACCACATAACTGTTAAGGAAACTACTTTAACTGCTAATGCTACGAAACCCAACAAAGAAACCAAGTGCAATGGAAAAACTCGCAAGTTGCTTTCTCGTACAGTAGTGCACAATCTTCTCCCACAATCTCGCTCTCTTGGTCCGAAAATAAATCATGATGCCCAGATCTCGTTGTGCCACTGATTTCGCTGTCTGAAAGTGGGAAGAGTCCACTCTCCCACAATGAGTGTTTGAAACTGAGAAATTTCCATGACCAAAGTCTTATTTGCCTTCTGATTTGGTTTGGAACTTTGTTGGACATGAAAACAAGGCCTTTCTTTTCCCAAGGTTGATTTGGAATTGATGCGTACCAAAACCAAGAGCCTCTTTATGGCTAAGACCCACTTTGATTCCATCAACCTCAGAGTTGTAATTGATTTTGTATGTGTGAACATGTTGTGGGCCTTTGCTTCTCTGAGGGTGTTCGTTTGCAACTATGTGCTCTATGCTTTTCGATTGCTGCTCGGGTATATCTTAAGGTTTGGTTCACTTTTGTTGCAATTTTGTAGTGATTGTGTGAAATCGTATGAGTGAATGAGAATGAGTAATGTTTTATTTTATTTATTTTTATTTTTTTATTTGGCTTCAGGTTTCTTCATTTGGGAGATGCAAAAGATGAGGTCATTGTTCAGAAACTACCACATGTTGAGAGGAACCAGGTTTCTGATTCTGAGGTTGATGGGTTCCGAGAGGAGCTGGTTAGTTTTCTGTTTTGGAGTGAAGATTTTCATGGAGAGACAGAGAGCTCTGTTTTTTTCATGGAGGTTGGTCCTGAAAGTGAGAAAAAAGATGGAGACACAGAGTGCTCTGTTTTGATGGATACCCACTGTGGTGTTCATGAAGATGGGGTGAAAACAGAGGTTCCCGCAGAAAGCTTTGTTTCAGAGGAGATTGATTCTGAGCCTCACATTCATGAAGATGGATTTGTTTTTGTGGAGAGTGACTCTGAAATCTCTTTTATTGATGAAGATAATAAGGAAATTGAAAGAGAAGGAGAGGAGTTTGTTTCTATGGAGACTGACTCGGATGTTTGTCAAGATGGTAAACAAATTGGTGAAGGTGAAACAGAGAGCTCTGTTTTAATAGAGAATGACTCTGATCTCCATCATGAAAGTATGAAGATAGAAGAGGAAATAGAAGAACGTGTTTCTTCGGAGATTGACTCTGTCATTCATGGAGAATTTAAGAAAATTGATGAAAATGAAACAGGGAGAGTAATTTTAATGGAGAATGTCTGTGGTGAAACTGTAAACGAGGATGTTGAGAAAATAGATGAAAATGAGGATTCTGTTTTTCAAGAAGAACAGTCTAATGTTCATGGTGATGGTACAAGGAAAGAAGAAAAAGTAGTAGAAGAAGAAGAAGAATCATATGGGCTTGATTTTGTGGACACTAACTCTGTAACAACCACAAGCAAGTGTGAGTACTTATCAGGAAAAGATATCAGTGGGTTCATGGAAGAACCAACAACACTGAGGTTCAGTTTTCGAGAATTTTACATGGGTCCAGATGTTTCAACCGTTTCTGACAATGCATATGCCACCACTGAAATTATTGCCGACAAGGAATTTTCAGAGTTTGGTTCAGAGAGAGACCCTGTGGATCAAGCACAAGCCGAGGAATCTGTTCAAGAACAGGTTTCAGTTCCTTCTACCCATGTTCCATACTTTGAGAATGAGGTGTTTGGTGGATCCGATTCATCTGATGAAGATTATTTTCTTTACAATGAAAACTCACTCACATCTGATTCAGAGTCAGAGTCATCTAGCTCAAGTGGTCTAATCTGGGGCAACAGTAACAAAATTGATGATTCAATTGTATACCAGTTTCTGGATGGTAAAAAGGGTGGTGAAGGATTTGAACCTGAGATTCTGAAGCTGATAATGAGAGATGAAACAACAGAAGCTGCGGAGGAGAAGCAATCTTCATGTGATGGAAAGGTTTCAGAATTTAGTGTTGATGGAATTTATTCTGAAGATGGGTATGTGGAAATGGAACCTTGCATGAAGGGTTTGAAGTCCTTGAATGCACATGGTTTTGGTGGTAAAGACTCTGCCAAAGATGTGGTCAAAGATAAAAAAGAAGAGGTGTGCAAGAATGGGTTGGAGAAAAGTGAAGAAGCTAGGTGGGAAGATGAATTAAGTGAATCAGAATCTGATGAGGGTGACTTTGAATGGGAGCATGATGATTTAGTGGAACAGCTGAAATTGGAATTGAAAAATTCTAGGCAAGGAGGACTTGCCACAATTTTAGAAGAAGAGGAGGAGGAGGAAGTAGACGAAGACGAAGAAAAGGAAAAGGTGAAGGAAAAGGAGGCAAGAGTGTCTCCAAGAGTGGTTGAAGATCCTAAGCCAGTGGAAATTGAAGAGAAGCTTGAATACAAGGATCAAATTGATGAAATTGAAAAGGTTTACAAGAGCTATGAAGAGAAGATGAAGAAACTTGATATCTTGAATTACCAGACCATGCATGCATTAGGTGAGAACTAAATTAACTTCTATGTTAAACTCTTGCTGTGGAACATTTCAGGTTTGAACAATATCAATGTTTTAGCAAGTTTTTCAAAACATGAAGTCTTTAGTGTTCAATCTCCAGCATACTGATCCCTTATGCAGTTATGGTTAATTAGAAGTTCTATTTTCACACTTCCAAATCTGCAGATTGAAGTTTGTTCTGGTCCAATTTCATTATCTTCTTATGATTTATGATCTTTATGATCTTTTTTATTCTTCATGAATTTTGGTCACATTCAATCAACTAGAAGAAATTTTTTTTTAAGAGCGCTCCTGGATACAATCATGACACGGTGGGCCACTACATATCTTACACCCATCATATTTTGCTAATTATGTGCGCATAAAGCAATTCATGTCTTGTTTATTTTGCCTATAATAAAGCCAAAGATAATGACTAGTCTGCATCATAAATTTCAATTCCATTCTCTACCAATCTTTGTCCTACTTTCCATAGGTTTACTTTATACATTAAAATATCAGCGAATGAGATTGATTCTCCTTGCTCTACTGTACAAAGCATTCAATAAAGTAGAAGGAACCTTCAGTGTTACTTTTAGAGTTTTGACTATGTTTGAAAATTCGGTTTAATTAATGGTTTCTAATATTATACTCTAAGCAACGGTAACTTGTTTATTTAGCAATGATCATGTGATTAATGTCTTTTTATGTCTAATCCATCCAATTTGTGATCAATTGCAGGCCTTCTTCAGCTAAAAGACCCTCTCAAATTAATTTCAATACCAAAATCCACCATCCAAGGCGCAAAGCCTGTAATCTCTCAGAACTTGTGGCCACGCAAAGCAACAAAGAACTCATCTGACCCATTGATGAAGCTTGTTCATGAACTGCATAGAGATTTGGAATTAGTATATGTAGGCCAGGTTTGTCTCTCTTGGGAAATCCTATCTTGGCAACACAAGAAAGCCCTTGAGTTGCAACAATATGATTCACAAGGCTCTCATAGGTATAACCATGTTGCTGGTGAGTTTCAACTTTTTCAAGTCCTAGTTCAGAGATTCATAGAGAATGAGCCATTTCAAGGACCTAGGATGCAGAACTATGTCAAGAACCGTTGCGTGATTCGCAACTTGCTCCAAGTTCCAGGCATAAAAGGTGAACAAAATGAACCATAAGCCTATATAGATACAATTTTAGAATAGTTTTTCTTTCTACCAAATAAAAATCTTTATTTCTAGTAGAAAAACTCTCAAAAAACTCTTTATTTCTAGTAGAAAAACTCTCAAAAACTCTTCTAAACTTGTATCTAAACTGACTCCATAATTCAGTTCTTTCACACAGTGCCATCTCTAATGTGATGCTTATTTTTTGTTGTGAATGTCATGCAGATGATAGTAAAGGAGATGAGGATGAGAATCCTATTGCAAGTGGAAGGTTAGCCGATATCATCAAGGAATCAATGCGGATGTTCTGGGAATTTGTTCGAGCAGATAAAGATTATGGGAATGTGATCTTTAAAGCATCACAGCACAACAGAACTGTTCTTAAAGACCCTATGATTTCTGGTCTTATGGTGGACATTAAGACACAATTACAGAAAGTATGTTCTTTGGTTACTAACCCTCATTTTAGTCCTTAATACTATATGCTTCAGTTATTTTAGTCCTTAACTTCATTAAATTTTTGTTTTAGTTGCTAGCAAATTATCATCAATGTTAGTCCTTAACCTTGATATAAATGGAAGTGGAAAAAGACCAATATTAAGAACTAACGTTTTCCAAAGTCAAGAGAAGTTTCGTGACAATTGTGGATTAAAATATGAGTTTAATCAATGATCATGCACTTTCAATGTAAAACAATTTTATACCGTCAATCAATCAGAAATCATTATTAATATAACTTTTAAGATAATTATTATAAAATTTAATAAGTTTACTGATAGTTTGTGATTAAATGATAATGTAAAACGGTGCATATTTTATTTTCTCTTCAAATATATAAAGGGACAAATGTGAGGCTTTAATCGAAATGCTCCAAGTAGTTTACAATATCATGTTTCATGTTGCAGAAGGAGAAGAAGCTCAAGGACATTGTGAGAACCGGGAATTGCATAGTGAAGAAGTTCCAAAAGCACCATGAAGATCAACTTGATCATGAGCAATTGGTTGCTCAGGTGGGGTTGAGATTGATTTCAAGGGTGATAAACATGGCCAAATTCAGAAAAGAGCAGCTAATATGGTGCAATGAAAAGTTACACCGAGTCAAATTTTTGAGCAGGAAGATTGTCCAGGTGGAACCTTCCTTCTTGCTTTTTCCATGTTGATTCCAAGTCAATATTTTCTTCTCAATTGTAGAGGAAGAGAAATGCTAGAGGAGTAGAGATAGGGATACCTTTTCATAGAAAATGATATCCTAGCTTACACAGAAATTGGGACACACGTCTAAAAATTCTCACTGTATATATATAAATTATATACAAGCCTGTTGCTTATACATCATCGTTATATAATAAATGGCAAGCTTGGTTAGTTCAATATATGTGTCATATTTGGAGTAGTTTTTTCTATTTTATGTCCTAAAATGTATTATTTAACATAAAAAAGAAGAAGAAAGTTTAGTCATATGTTTGTTTGTGATATTTTTATGCGGTATGTTATGGATCATCTCATCTCAAATCCTTCAAGAAAGATGCACAAACCTAATTTGAATTGTTTTAGCTTGCATTTATATGCTACAAAAATATATCTCATTTATATTTTTTTTTAGAAGAAAACCAATTAAAAAAACAAAATGATACTTTTATTGTTACTTTATAAATTAACTTTCGAGGTGTTGGGGATGTATTTTGGTTTTAGTTTTCAAAGATTTACCTAAGAAAGTATTCAACAACAAATTTATGTTTAAAAATGAGATTTTTATTTTTATTTTTATTTTTTTTACCAATTTTCATTTATGAGTATCTTTTTAAGCGTACCAACAACTTCATTAAGTTATCAAAAAGAGGGTGTATGACTTTGTGACTGTTTTAGTCTTTCGAATTATTTTAAATACTTCTTAACAAATATTAAATTGATTATTCAATAAAAACTAATGACAGAACTATATCATCTAACTCTCAAGTTTAATACTTCTAAATAGATCATTTACTTAAAGACTAGTAATTAATTCGAAATTGTTCAATTAATCTCCAACGCTTTGAATGAAATGTCAATTAAAAACTAACAAGTATTTTTTGAGTTTTTTAAACATGATTTAAACAAAAAGTAAAAAAAGAACAAGATGAGAAGCAAAAATGCGAATAATATAAAATGCAATGAGAAGTCAAAATTGCATAATATGTAAATTACAAGAGAAGTAAGTTACTAGAAAAATAAACCGAAGGGGGTGAGAAATCAGAAATTGGCAGAAAAGTGAATGAAAAATGAATTAATTCGGGTATGGGCATACAACAATCTTAAATGTTTAACCAAATAAAGATAACGTACGGTTCTTTATTTGTAGTCTAATTAACTCAAATAGTCAATTTACAACAATCTTAAATATATTAACTTCCTATTATCTGACTTCACCGTGTCTCTAGAAAGCTTAAACTTCTAGAAATACCAAAACCTGGTTGTTTGAAGAGCAATTTGATTTGGCCCAAGAAATGAGTCTTTCAGACAAACGTCTTCTAGTTGTAACAACTTCTATGATTAATTTTTGAAGTCTTCATTCTTAATGTCTTCAATGTGTCTTCCATATTCAAAAGTATTTTCAAATGCCGTCTTCGAGAGAATCCTCAAATAGACAATCACTTATAACTTGGCATATTTTCATGCCATATTCATATATAGTGTGATTTCAATAATATTTTAAAAAATATTGGACTTCTTTCCTGACTTCTATCATTTGGATCTTTGTTCATGTTTTAATCCCTGTTTCTGAAATATCCCTTTCTAGAGTCATTTTGTTTGATTTTCATAATCAAAAAGAACAAAATCTTTAGACATTTATTTTTCTATTTTGAAAAAAATGTCAAAGGCAACATTCAAAAGGTCTAAAAAATTGTGTTTTACTAATACAACAGGTGAAATATCATAAATGAAAACAATATATCAAAATTACAAGTAATATCAAAAATATATTAAATCATGATCACATATTAAATCATAAGATCATGAGTAGTTAAAATTTAGACACTTGATATAATGAACACATACTTACCTAAATCTACATGCATGTGACGTCAATAAAATTTATGTATGGTTACCTGAAGGTTAACACTCATGTATTGCTGCACAAAGATTAATACTCATATATGGTTGTGTGAAATTTAATATTCATATACGATTGTCCAAAGGTTAACTCTCATACATAGTTGTCTGAAAACTAATGCTCATGTGCACTTATCTAAAGACTAATTCTTATGTATAGTTGCTTGAAAACTAATACTCAAGTATGATTTTAATTCTCATGTATAATTACCTAAATGTTAATATCACGTGTGATTGCTCAAAGACTAATTCTCCCATTCGATTTCTCGAATACTAATACTCATGTGTGATTGTTTAAAGACTAATTATCTTATTCAATTGCCCAAAAGTAATTCTGTAATTATAATTTCAAAAACTACATTCACATTATCTTGTAATTATAATATTTATGAAATTATTTGAGAAAAAAATTGTCTCATACACAAAGTTTGTCGTGCTCATTGTTTGCGTTATATCAAAAGTTTATACATTAACAGATAAAATTAAAGTCATTATACCGTTAAAAAATCTCATGCTTCAACCTATTTTATAAGTTAATTTGAAATTTTTCTCTATTTTATCCGTATAGGGATGGAATGATAATTACAACCTCTAATTAATCAAATAATACTAATAAGAAAAGACTTACTAAATTATCATAAGTCAACAATCCATTAAAAATAGAGTTTTAATAGTTTGGTTGATATCGATTAAAGTTTAAAATATTTTTTTTTAATTTCTATAACTTTATTTATTTTATTTTTTAGTCCTTATAACTTAAAATAGATTTTTTGTTGAGAAATCAATCTAAAATTTTCAATTATGAATAAACAGTAATGAATGAAGGATCATATCATTTCTTAAAATAGAGACGTGTGATAAGAGTAGTTATCATCTACATAGAAGACCATTATCCATTAAGAAAGAGAGGATTACCACTTACTATGAGAGTAGTGATGGTCTTGAGCACGGTCAAGGTGGGCAACCGCCTAGGGTGGGCACCAATTTCTTTTTAATTTTTATAAATATAAAAATAAAATTTAAATAATAAAATTATATAATAAAAATACTATTATAAAAAATAAACTAGTCAACAATAATTAATCGATTGATATGTGATGTTTTTATGTCTCAATAACAATCTATTTGTAATTTTAGAAAAATAAACCAGTGATATCAAATATAAAAAGGAAAGTGTGATATATAATATGATATATATTTGACTTATTTTCTTTAATTTCTTTTATCCTATATTTCTCTTATTGTTAATAGATAAAGATCACCTTGAAAATTTTCTCCTTCGCTTTATATATAATATCATGATCATTTATGTTCTATTAGAATCTTAAAATCAAATTAAAAAAAATATTTTTGTTAGTCACATCAAATTTTTTGGTGACGTATTACCATTGTTATTCTTTTTTTCATTACCATAAGTTGAGAGTTCAATTGAATGTTTAAAAATAAGCACTCAATTAGTATTGATTCATCTCATTGTCAAACAATTTTTGGCCCTCTAAAATGAAAAAGATAAAAAAAATTAAAATTGATATTAATTCACAAAAGAGTGCTCTGATATTCTTTTTTTTTTTGTGAAATATCCTATAATTTTCTTTGAAATGATGCAAATCTAGATAATTCAAACTAAAAAACTAAAAATTTTGAGAATAAAAAATTATATAAGAATATGACGAGTATGATATTTTAGTTAAAAATAATAAAAATATTGTTAAAATTATAAAACATAGAAGACAAAAATAATTAGATTCAACAATAAATGAATAAAAAAAATATGTCACTAATGATTGATTATTATTAAATTATAATGATAAAACATGAAAATTAAACCCTTAATATTATTAAAATATAT